AGGGGGTGTTTTGGTGGGGTCACAGGGGCTGAGAGAGCAGAGGGTGTGAGATGGTGATGCATGACCCTTCCAGCTGCCTCCTGACCTCCCAGAGCCCTCCCAAAGCTCCTGCTCCAGGGCTGCCATGGGGGCTGTGGTTTGGGATCCCTGGGGAGCCCCCACACCCCAATGGGAACCCACACACCACATGCAGGAGAGCAGGAGCAGGGCAGAGCCTGGGCAGGTCCTGAGTCCTGTGTCAGCAAGGGACCTCATGATCACCTCAAATTAGCAACTGGTGTCAAATGTTTTGGGCAAAAATAACCCCATGGGCAGGCACAGTTTTGCCAGATGCTGATTCCTGGATACACACGGGCCCACTTTAATGCTGATCCCTGGAGTTAAGGGGAATGCTTTGGGGTCTGGGGGAGAGCTAAGCTGGCTCAAGGCCAGACAGGGACTCTGGGCACAAGGACAAGGAGCTGGCTCCATAAAATGCCAGACATAAAGAGCTGCTGACCCAGGGCTGCTATGAAGGGGGGTGGCTGTGGCAGAGAGATGAAGCAGTGGCTCTGTTCACCCCTGTGCCCCTCACGAATTGTGAGGGACCCATCCCTGCTGCACCCTGCTCTCTGTGGGGCTCAGAGCTGCCCTAAAGCACGGTGTGCTGCAGATGAGGCTGCTCCCCCTGAGGCAGAAGAAGGCCCACATCATGGAGATCCAGCTGAACGGGGGCACGGTGGCTGAGAAGGTGGACTGGGTGCGGGAGAGGCTGGAGAAGCAGATCTCTGTGCACAGTGTCTTCAGCCAGAACGAGATGATCGATGTCATCGGCGTGACCAAGGGCCACGGCATGAAAGGTATGGGGCTGTAGGGCTGTGCTCCTCACAGGGCTCTGCCCTGCAGCTGCTTCTGGGGTAGGGGAGTGTTAACCATGCTTAGAACCCCTCACTTTCTGTAGAGGGAGTAGCAAAAAGCCTCAGGATCTAAAGCATGACATCCAGTTCTGGTGTGGCAGGGCTCCGTTTCCTTAATCTCAGCAAGGGAAAAATCCAACAGGGGCACCTCTGGTGTACATACAGAGGAGCTGACAAGGTAATCTCTGTTGGAAGGATTTTCCCTGAGATTAAGGCCAGTGAAGGCCTCCTCCCAGGAGGCTCTGAGGCACTGTCAGTGCATAAAGCAACCAGGTCTAATGGGAGGGGTCCCTGCCCATGGCACGGATTGGAACTGGATGGTCTTTATGGTCCTTTCCAATCCAAACCAGTCTGTGATGGTGTGAATTTCACAAACCCCACATGTGCAGAAGAGTGGGCATCCCTGAGTGTGTACATGGGACATCTGGTCTGATCAGAGCATTGGGAGGTGAGAATAGCTCCTGATCTCCTCCCAGCACGGCCTCCTGTGAGATTTGCAGGAGAGCCATGGGACTGTCCCTCAGGAGAGTGATGGGACTGCCCCTCAGGGAATGTCCCTCAGGAGAGTGGTGGGACCATCCCTCAGAGACTGTCCCTCAGAAGAATGATGGGACTGTCCCTCAGGGAATGTCCCTCAGGAGAGCCATGGGACTGCCCCTCAGGGACTGTCCTTTAGGAGAGCCATGGGACTCTACTTCCCCAGCCCTCCCTGGCACCCCTGCTGACTGTCCCCACGCCCCCAGGGGTGACCAGCCGCTGGCACACCAAGAAGCTGCCCAGGAAGACGCACAAGGGCCTGCGGAAGGTGGCCTGCATCGGGGCCTGGCACCCGGCCCGTGTGGGCTACTCCATCGCCAGGGCCGGCCAGAAGGGCTACCACCACCGCACCGAGATCAACAAGAAGGTATGGCCAGGGGGCTCCATCCTGTCACACCCTCCTCCCCACGCTGCCCTCAGCTCCCTGCATCCTCATGGATGTTCCCCTGGACATCTCCATGGCCTTCCCGGTGATTTTCTGCTGCTTGAGGGCACAGCGTGGTGAAAACCTGTAGGGGAATTCACTATGGGTAAATGAAGGTGGTATAGGATGTGATCTTATCCCCTAAAGAGTTGCAGCTGAACGCATTATTAAAGATTAGGAGTAGGCCTGATGTTAACAGGCCACATCTCTAGCCAACAAGAAGAGTGTTATAAAAGAATGGATTGGTTGGCTGAGGGGGAACTGAGAACTGGAGTCGGTTGCTGTGAGGACAAGGCAGGGTCAGTGCCTGGAGGAGCTGCCTACAAGAAACATCAAGGAGTATGAAACTCTAGCAATATGGAACCCTCGCAATGTACTGATAATAGAGCTTCTGCAATATAATGACAACAAAACCCACGTGGTTCTGTGGGGGATTCTGGCACCCTGTAAGGCTCCTCAGCAAGGGGCAGGAGAGCCTCCATCCCCACTGCCTGTGTGTCCCCAGATTTACCGCATTGGCCACGGGATCCACGTGGAGGATGGCAAGGTGGTGAGGAACAACGCCTCGACGCACTATGATATCACTGAGAAGACCATCACGCCCATGGTGAGGGCTGAGGGGTGACAGGGCCGTGCCCCCCTGACCCTCCCAGCCAGCTCTCCTGCCCACCCACCCCTCTGCTCTCCCCACAGGGTGGTTTCCCTCACTATGGGGAGGTCAACAACGATTTCCTCATGCTGAAGGGCTGCGTGGTGGGCACCAGGAAGCGCGTCCTCACCCTGCGCAAGGTGAGAGCACCTGGGATGGGCTGCAGCTCCCCAGGAGCACATTCCCCACCTGCAGAACCCTCCAAGTGCTGGGCAGGGACACTGGGCAGGTCCTTGGTGCAGTGTTAGCAGGTGGATGGAGCAGGAGAGCTCTGAGGGCTGTGGCTCATTCCAGAAATGAAACCTTGGGTTGTCACAGAAAGGTGAGTGGGCACTGGAATGGGCTGCCCAGGGATGGGGTGGTGGAGTCCCTGGTGTTTAGGGACAGACTGGATGTGGCACTCACTGCCATGGTCTGGGTGACAAGGTCAGGTCATAGGTTGGACTTGGTGATCTCAGAGGTTTTTCCAGCCTGGCTGATGCTGTGATTCTGTGCAATGCTGAGCAAAGAGCAGCTCTGCAAGCTCTCTCCCATCTGAGCCCCAGGGTGTCGCTGTGAGAACACAGATTTTTGAGGGGATGTTTTAGAGGATATTCCAGCCCTGCTTCCATGAGACCAGCTGTTCTGTGACACTTCCCCTGCTGTTGTGGCTGTTCTTTCCCAGTCCCTCCTGGTGCACACGAGCCGCCGGGCTCACGAAGCCATCGAGCTCAAATTCATTGACACCACTTCCAAATTCGGCCACGGCCGCTTCCAGACGGCTCAGGAGAAGAGAGCTTTCATGGTGAGTTCCTCAGGCTGCCACTGTCTGACTCCAACCAAGCATCTTCCATGGGCAGGGAGGTGGAATTGGATGAGTTTCATGTCCCTTCCGACCCAAACCATCCCAGGATTCTATGATTCCATGATTCTGTGGTGTGTTCATTGATACAACAGCAGCCAAGTAAATGTTTGAGGCTCTCTTGCCTAAAGGCAGCCATGAATTCAGTTCACACAGCAGAAATGATGCTGAGGAAGAACAGGATGGTTGTGTGAGTGATCCAAGACAACTCAACCAGCAAATAAAAGACCATATGGGCAACCAGTTCCCATTCACCATGGGAAGTTTTAAACAAGCAGTTAACTTGGCAGGCACTGTCTTGGCCATATGGTGCCTTTCACTCAGAATTGTGCACTGCTTTGATTTGTTTGGGATGATTTATAGCTTTAATGTTCTCAGAGGAAAAAAAGTTTGGGTCAAATTCAGATGCAGATTCATGGTGCTTTTGTCAGAAGCTTTCAAGAAGGCCAAACAGTGTATTTTTCTTAAACCCAGGGAAAAAAAATAATATAATTAAATAATCCAAACACAGCAGTTCCCTGAATAGTTTTGCAGCCTTCACCAGGCTGGTGTGAGTCTGAGTCTGAAGCGGAGGAAGCACTGAGTAAACCAGGAGAGGGAGAAGGGAAAGAAACAAGTGTGTGTGTCCCACGCAGATGTAAACTGGGTCTGGCTGTGGCCTGTCAGCCAGAAATGCCATGTGAAGCTGGCTAAGCCTCCTTAGAGCTGCCAGGGGGATTGGTGAGGCACTGCCTCTGCAGAGCTCTTTAGAGGTTAAGCTGATTTCCTTCAGCTCAGTGTCAGGAGCCTGTTGTGTCACTGCCAGCCCTGAGCTGCTGTGACAGGAGGAGGTCTGACCTGGCTGCAGCTCTTTTCTTTGCCACTTTGCCCCATGGATTCTGTGCTAAAACATCACATTTGTCTGGAAGTTGAGGGACACAAGTAATTCCTGCCACCTGCTCCCGTAGGATTGATTTGCTGTGGGATAATCCCATTTTTCAGCTGCTGGCCCGAGCTGCCTTTCTTTCAGACACAGCCATGCAGGCCAGGTCTGTGTGTCCCTAAATCCAAACTCTCCTCTCTGCTCTCTTCCAGGGCCCCCAGAAGAAGCATTTGGTGAAGGAGAAGCCAGGTGTGCAGGAAGAGCTCTGAGGACAGAGATCCAAGGCTGCCTGCTGGGCATTTGCAATAAAGGGGCTCCAAGCCCTGCCTGTTCCTCTCTCCTTCTGGAGGGGTGTCCTGCCTGTTCTCAGGCTCCTCAGCAGCTGGGGATGGGGAAAGTGGCATTTGGGACTGGCCCACATGGATGGGGACTAACTGGGACAGCCAAGTGCCTGCTCTGCCCTCTGGATCCTCCCTTTCCTCTCCTCCCAGTGAATTTTTCCCTCTCACCCAAATCACCACGAAGTATATCCCCCCTCTCATCCAGCAGAGAGCAGAGCACATTCCAGCACTTCTGCCCCAGCTTCCACTGGGAATACTGGGCCAGCCCATGGCCTGGCTCTGCCCAGCTCCCTGCCTGTCTCCTCCCGCCTCTCCCACACAGCTCCAGCACTGCTTTTGCCAAGCTGAAGGTGCAACCTGGGGGCTTCTCCCGCTCAAAGCCCCCTGATCGTGGCTGGGACCCTGGCAGAGGTGGGAATTGTGCACAACAAGAGGGCTGCCAGGCAGGGCTGGGCAGAGATGGATTTATTCACCTGGGAGCCTTTCCCACCCGTGCTGTCCTTGCAGCCCAGCTGCCTGTGGGGATGGGGCATGCCCCAGAGCTGGGAATTCTGGATCAGCAATGATCCCAACTCCTTCAGTGCCGTGATCCAGGTGTCCTGCACCCTCTTTGGAAGCAGACAGTGGGAAGCCCAGCCCTCCCCTGCCCCGAGCTGCCTGCTTGACCAGGAGTCCTGGAGCGTGGCTGTGGAATCCCTGGGTCTCCAGCAGCCTGGCTGTGCCCTGAACGTGTGCTTGCAGGATCTGAGGAGGCTCATCTGCACAAGCAGAGCGTGAGGATGAATCCAGGCACAGCCCCGGCTGTCCCATGTCCCAGTGAGGTCCCTGAGCTCTGGGCAGTGTCCCTGCCCCTGGGTTGTGCTTCAGAGCCTCCTGTCCCCCGTGGCTGGTGGATCCTGGGGTGGTCCCGGGCTGGGGGGCCAAGGATCCAGGCCAGAGCGCATGATGGGCATGATGAGATCGTCCATGTTTGGCATCACCAGGATTTTCTGCAAAGAGGAATTCAGAGTAACAAATCAGTGGGTTTGAGCAGCACAGGGACACTCCTGGAGGAGGCTTGGCAGGAGCCACGTGGGGATAAACTGGAGGTTCTGGGTTCCCACCCCACAGCAGCAGCCCCAGGAGAGTTCCAGCTCTGGATATCAGGGTGAGGACAAGCAGGGACAGTTTTTCTTTGCCCTGACCACCTCAATGGTTGCAGGGGTGGTCACAGCAGAGGGGAGGGACCAGCCATCCAGATGTGTGGCTTTTGGGGGACCCTAAATGTCTTTGGGGACATTTCTGCTCTTTGAGCAGAGGTGAGAGGCTGAACACAAACCCTTGGGAAGGCAAATTTCCCAAACATCCCCAAACCAGAATGGACAGCTGGATTCAACCCTTCTGGGGCTGAACCCTCCCTGCTTGGGGCAGGGCTGCAAATGATGGGAGGAAATCACTTTTCCTCAGCCCTTGAGCTCATTATTTGGGTTCTGTGTTGTCACTGCTCCAAGCTGGCCAGACCAGACCAGTGCGGGCTTTTTGCAGAAACAACTGGCCCCAACTGAGGCTGCCTCTCCCCGCTGGCAGCAATGCCCCAGGCTCAGCAGGGCTTGCTGAGGCCCTGAGCAGCAGCCCAGGCACCTGGAACTCGTGCTTCAGCTTCTTCTCGATCCACTCAGTGACGTGCAGGAATGTCACCTCCCGCTCGCCCAGCTTGGGGCGCACCCTCAGCTCCAGCTGCGGGGGCACTCGGAAGCTGTACCTGTGAGGGGAGAGCAAACAGGCAGAAAGCATCACCTGCATCACAGGTGTGGCACAGCCACTGAGGGGGTTAGGGAGGAGGTGACAGCTCAGGGCACCCAGATCTGTGCTGGCCTGGGTGCAGACTCAGAGGAATGAGCTCTGTGAGCTCCTTTGGGGAGCAGCTTTGGGTTGTCCAAAGCCCTGGGATGGCTCCTTGCAGGGAGCAAGGGGCGCTGGCAGCGGGATGTGATGTGGGGAAGGAGAGCTGGTACCAGACACGGTCGGTGGGTGGCGGGGGGATGTTCACAGCCAGGGTTCCTGCCAGCTCCTGCACCTCCACCGTCAGCAGCAGTGGCGTGTTGGACACCTCCTCCATCTTCTTCTTGATGAACTCGTTCTCCGTGGCCTTCTGGAAGTACTTGGACTTGGCAATCTTATCCACGAAGCGCAGGATCCTCCTGCTTGTGCTGTTCCCACTGACGTGCCTAAAGCAAGGGGGGTCCCAGCTCAGCCCTGCTGGGTTTGGGGGTCCCCCAGCCCTCTGCCACAGCACAGAGAGGGACAGAGGACAGGGACAGAGTCCCCTTTGGAAGCTGCCACAATGTGCTGTG